TGTATCTTTTTGAATTAGAGGTCCCTCCAGATATATACCCAGGAGTGGGATTGCTGGATCATATAGTAAGTCTACTTTTAGTTCTGTTTTTAAGAAGATAATTTATATTGGAAGATTTTACACTAAATTTTAAAATCAGATTTTATTTGTTAGTAGATTATACTAATTTATTTTTTGATTTCACATTATTTTTTGAGGTAAAAAGAATCAGATACTACCAAAAAGAATTTTTTAAAAAGTAAAATATATCCCCATTAAAGCCCCTAGAGATAACTATTACTTCTGTTTTAGGGGAACATTCTTCTAGACTTCTCTTGGTAGAGGCCTATACATTATTTTATGTAAATGGAGCTATGTTATATTTTGTGTCACAAGGGAGTTTTTTTTTTAAATGTTGAGGAAATGTTTTACACGGGTGACTATGGCTGTACATCATTTTAATGACTTTATTAAAATGTGTTTGTACGTTGATTTATTTGACTGATCCCCCATGGATGGAGATGAGTTTGTTTCCAACTTTTCAGCATCAGCAACATTTTCACAGACATCTTTGTTGATCATTGCTTTAGAATAAATGCTTAGAAGTAAATTTGTGAAGTCAAAGGGTCCACAAACTTTTGATATCCCTTGCCATATTCCTCACCTCTAATGCAGTGTATTGGCAATCATTTTAGAGCCAAAAAGCCAACAGCTATTCCCTGTTAATTTACATTACATTGATTATTAAGGCAGTTGAACAGCCTTGGATATGTTTATTGACCATTTGTAGGTTCTTCTTTTGTGAGTCGCCTATTTATGACCTATGTCTGCTGTTCCACTTGGTTGCTGGGTACATTCTTACTCATTTTTAAGAGCTCATTATCTGTTTAGGCTGTTAACCCTTTGTCAAATACCTTTCAATCAGTTTTCCCTATTTTTTATTTGTCTTTTAGTTTGTGATAGCTTTCTTCATATAAAAGATTTATTTTTGGTAGTGCGATTGATCAAGCTTATGGTAACTTTAGGAATTAAAAAATGAACCACACCTATATTACAGCAGCCCCTGGTGCTTCATGCTGTATTTTTATTTCCCTTGCTGTAATTTTAGAATACTTGCATCAACACAATTTGAACCTACTGCAGCCAGAATGGCCTTTCCCTGCTTTGATGAACCTGCTTTCAAAGCGAGTTTTTCAGTGAAGATCAGAAGGGAACCAAGACACCTCGCCATCTCTAATATGCCATTGGTGAGTCTAAACTCTCGTGTATCTATTCACAAGAAAAATCCATTGATTCGCAGGCATTTCTCTGTTGACAGTTAACATTCAGGTTATCTGTTTTGTTTGTTTTACTGCCTGACAAATAGCCAACTTTTCTTTTTTCATTTACAACCTATGCTTTTGTTTCAAGCAACAATTTAATTGTAGTTATACAAAAAAAAATTGTCCCTAAAAACATGCAAAATTGTGGTAAGAGTGACACTACAGGCCATCACTGTCGATGGGAGGGGAACTATGTAAGGAATTCAGGTCAGGTTTAAGAGAGAGGACCCTTCCGAAGCATTTTTGCTTTCATTTATTCATGTGATCTTTTATAAGGATTTTAAAGAGAGCGCTTTGTCAAGTAAGGCCATATTTCTGTAATTTGTATATACAATATACCAGTATTAACTATATAATTTGTAACTATGGCATGAGGTTGGGCAGATGGAAAAAGGGGAAAAAAAGGAATCTTTTAAGAATATTATGGTAGTAAAGATAAGTATGACAGATAACCTCCGTGCCCTTTAAATAAGTCATTAGCTCTAGTTCCAAAGTAGATGTGGACAGTGTTCCCTCTGATTTTTGAAAGTGGTGAGAAGATGATCTTGCCAAATGAAGGAAACTGCTCAGTAAGTGCCAGTATCCTGTGATTCTGGCGGCTTAGTGAAAACATCAGCCAGGCTGTCGTTTCACCACTGATGCTTACCATCTCCTGAAGCACACGTGTTCTTTGTTCAGAGAAGTTTGCTGTGGATGAGACTCAGGGTGGAACAGGCAAACCCAGAGTCCAGAAGGGTATGGTGTCTCTTCCCTGCACTGACCAGGGAGGCAGTATCTTCACATGGAGGGACCCAGAGACACAAACCAACCTTCAGCACAGTGTTTCTAGAATGATTTGACCTTAATTACAATCATATATTGGAAAGGGAAAATTTTAAATAATCATACAAATGTTGTGCCATGTACTTTCAAAATGTCTGAGAGTTAGGAAATTTCTCTTTATAAAATATTTTTAATGTCTTGGGTAATTGGATTCTTTGGTGATTTTACTTATTCTGATTTTAGGTTAAATCTGTGACTATTGCTGAAGGACTCATAGAAGACCATTTTGATGTCACTGTGAAGATGAGCACCTACCTGGTGGCCTTCATTGTCTCAGATTTTAAGTCTGTCAGCAAGATGACCAAGAGTGGAGTCAAGGTGAAACTGTGATTGTCACATAGAGTGACCAGCTTGTCCTGGTCTGCCTGGGACTGTCCTGGTTCTAGAATTTGAAATTCCACATCCTGCAAACCCCCTCAGTCTTGGGCAAACCGGTTGGTTGTCATCCTTTTGTCACAGATGCTCATATTTACCCTGGGGCTCTAATGACAAAAACGTGGTGAGGCTTGGTCTGGCCTGGGTCTTGGTCCTGCTCCACCACTAACTGGCTTTCTGCTCCCTTTGGCCCTGCTTCCTTTGGAAGTTAGCTTCTACTTCTTTAAAATGTGTAAGTTGAACTGGATCCCACAGTGGTTTCTAAGGTTGCTTGTCTATATAACTTTCTGCAGTTTGGAAGTGAATGTCACTGCCTATCTGAACAGGGGATTTCTAGCCCTGGAAAGGAAGTAAGACAGAGCAGTTGGCTTGGAGTGTTAAATGGCTTTGGGGAAGGTATTTGGGCCAGGGAATGCTGGAGTATTAGAGGAAAAGATAGTTTCAAGGAGCACTTGTCACTTGTCTGGGTAGCATTGTGTAGCGAACAACCTACACATCAGTATGCTGTGGCTCTGAATGTAAATAAGGCTTTTGGAGAGGAGGGGCAGGTCACTTTATTTGGTAATACCTCATTTATTTCTGCACCAGCAGAATAATTCACCGAGGCCTGAATAGTTAGTTAGGGTTTCTCCACTGAATTGCCTTCTGTTCTATAGGACTGAGGTTTTTTTTATCCTTCTGCTGATGCCTCTGCTTACCTTGGGATTTGAAACTGTTGCTTGAGACTTGGATGTAGGGAGCAGTCTCAGTTCAGCAGTGAAAATATCAGCAAAAACACCCAATTGTTGATTTGCTTACTTTTGTGAATCCTTCATGAATGGTTACTTTTATGTGTCTTCCATACGGTGATACTGTGTTTTATAATAAGAATATATATTTGGTCTTCATCCCTGATTCTGGCACAGAGCTCCTAAAATTCTTAGAATTTCCTAAATGTGGAGAGCTATGAAGGTGTCTTTTGTTATGTTAATGAACGATAGTTGGAAAACTCCTAGGTAACCTAAAGGTGGGGGCTGGTTGATAGGGAACCAACCATGTGATTGGAGGGTTGGGACTTTTAGTCCCACCCCTGTGACCTCCAGCAGGAGATTGAGTTCAGTTACCAATGGTCAATTATTTAATCAAATAGCCTGTGTAATGATGCCTCTATTCTGTGAGCTTCTGGGTTGGCAAACCAGTGGAGTTGCTGAAAGAGCAGCTTGGTAGGAGAGGACATGGAAGCTCCGCACCCTGTCCCCGTACCTTGTCCTAATGCATCTCCTCTATGTGGCTGTTCCTGAGTTATACTTGTTTTTAAGCTAGTAAGTAAAATGTTGCCCTGAGTTCTGTGAGCCATTCTAGTAAACTAATCAAGCCCAAGGAGAGGGTCTTTGTAACCTCTAATTGATGGCTGCTAAGTCACAAGCACAAGTGATAACCTGGACTTGTGATTGGTGTCTGAAGTAGGGGTAGGGAACAGCCTTGTAGGACTGAATCCTTAACCAGTGGAATATGATGCTATCTCCAGGTAGTGTCAGAATCAAATTGAATTGTAGAATACCCAGCTGGTGTGGGAGAACAGCTTGATGATGTGAGGAAATCCCCCACATACACCCACATTGGAATTGGATCCCCAGATCTCTTTTATGTACCAGTGTTTTTAGTCCTTTTATTTCTTTAAACATATTAAACACACATTTTATATTGTGTCTAGTAATTGGCATATTTGAAGTCTTTGTGTATCTGGTTCTGTAGTTTGTTGTTTCTGCTGGCTCTTGCTCATGATGTCTTATTCCTTTGTGTGTGTTGTGAATCGTGTCTGTAAACTTATTACCTGAGTTGAACGGCTAATTGTGTCTATAAACATTTATTACCTGAGTTGAAGGTAGATTCTTCTAGAGAGAATTTGTATTTGTTCCTGTCAGGTGACTGGAAGCATTTACCAGCCTTGGGATTATTGGCTTCAGACTTTTGGACCGCCTGGTTATTGTGAGTTCAGCTGCTAAATGGCTTGAAGGTTTGCCTTTGGCCACAAATTCTGTGAGGAGATTCTCCCATTCTTCCCTATACAGTACCATGGTTTGAATAAGGCATTCTTTTCCTTGCAGTCTCCTTGAGGAAGAGGGTGATTATTTTGATTTTACCCTTACTGTAAGGGCTTGGTCTTTTGGGGTCCAGCTTTATGCAGCAGTACATCTCCTATTAGGCTTCCCACCTTAGGCAGGCTCTGGACTTCGTTTCGAATCCCCTGAGTTCTTCAACGCTGTGAAAACCTAAGCTCAAGGCCGTCGATACTGGGCTACTGTTCTTAGGGCAAAAGCCGGCTGTGGTGCTCTGTTGACTTCTTGGGGCCCTACTGTCATTTCACTTTTAGCAACTAAGTCTTCTTTACTCTTTCACTACCTAATGTAAACATTTAAAAAGACATTGTGCATTTGTTATCCAGCATTTGTTGTGGTTTTCAGAAGGGGAATTAATTGGCAGCAGTCAGCATTAATACAATTGTCTTCTTTAATATTGGCAACTGTATCCCACAATATGAAACTGTTAATGCCAGTCTTCTAGAGGAGCCACTGTGGCATTTGGGTAACTTTCTTGTGTGTTTCTCTTCAGGTTTCCGTGTATGCTGTTCCAGACAAAATAAATCAGGCAGATTATGCACTGGATGCTGCGGTGACTCTTCTAGAATTTTATGAGGATTATTTCAGCATTCCATATCCCTTACCCAAACAAGGTAGAGATTTTGCACAGATGTTACAAATTGGGCATTTGATAACCCCAGCAGATAACATCCTCCTAACTGGTATCTTGAGTCAGCTCAGCAGCGCCTCAAGTCATAAAAACCCTGGCAGATGTCAGCAGTCGTGTTGATCCTTCTCACCCGTGATCTCTACAGTAAATTCTAACAATAGTAGAAGCAGATCATGATACAGTTCCAGAGCCACACGGCGTGGGGATACTTTTACCTTCTGACTTCAAAGATGAACCCAACTGTATTATTGGGCAGATAGCAAAGGACTGAGGCTGCATATTTTTCATTACTGGCACACATTTGTTAGGAACATAGAGTACTCAGTAAATTTTTTGAATAAGTTCATTGACATAGCATAAGAAAACCTGCATTTCCTTACTTAAATGAGCCCTTAAAACTATTGTGGGTTTGAGTTTTGAGGTGTATGGGAATTTTGGGCATTCAAAGTCCAGTGGATTATTGAGGCAATTGTTAAAATTGTTCAGTCCCCATTCACCTTGTAAGAGAGTTCGAAATGGGAGTCAGAGGTGTGAGACCCAAGCCTGACTTTGTCACACAGCAGCAAAGTAACTCTGAGTCACTGAGCCCTTTCTCTGCATTGTGAAAGAGTCTTCCAGTCTGGAATCCATGATTCTGTGTGGGCAACTTAGCTTTTCTTTGATCCCTACACCTATTCTGAAAGTGTGTTTGGGCAATGCGTAGCTTAATATTGGTGGTATATTTTTGTTTCCTTCCCAAGATCTTGCTGCTATTCCTGACTTTCAATCTGGTGCTATGGAAAACTGGGGACTGACAACATACAGGGAATCATCTTTACTGTTTGATGCTGAGAAGTCTTCTGCATCAAGTAAGCTTGACATCACGATGACAGTGTCCCATGAACTTGCCCACCAGGTATATAAGCTCAGTCACACTTTCAAAAAAAGTATAAACTAAATCTATATTGCTTTTCTGCAGTATTGATTTTTACACTGTTTTTTCCCAGAGGAAAAATGATTTCTTAACAGCATGAGGTACTATGTTTTATAATGCATACTGAAAGCTTTTTCTTTTTGTTTTGAAAAATGTTGGTTGTATAAATAATATTCATATACTAACATTACACATATGAAATACATTTCTTTATAAGTGTCTTATGTTTATGTCTGTGTAGTTATCTAGTTTCCATGGAAATGTGTGAATAATCTGAGTAAGGTTTTCCTTTCAGTGGTTCGGGAACCTCGTCACTATGGAATGGTGGAATGATCTTTGGCTAAATGAGGGATTTGCCAAGTTTATGGAGTTCGTTTCTGTCAGTGTGACTCATCCAGAACTGAAAGTTGTAAGAAATATTTACTAAATTTTTTACATTTTATGTTCATCTGTGGTGTTGTTTAATGTTGTAGGGAAAAATCTATTGATGTTTGATTATAAAATTCTTAAGATTGATAACCTCCCTGGGAGTTTAAATATGAATCAGGTTCCCAAAATGCTTGTGAACTTTAAAGATATATCACAAAGGCTTATTTCCAAACTCAATTGCTTATTTCCATGTCTATGACTGTTAGGAACTCAGTATTAAATTTTGTCCTCCCTTAGTATCAAAGAAATAGAAATAATGACAGCCTGTCTGTTCCATCTCACGTCCCCAACTGGCAGGGTGCTGACCGAAGAAGTATTAGGTACAGATTGCTGTTATTTCAATAGGATCCTACTTGCCAGTTCAAATGAGTTATGTTTAAGGTAACTGCACATTTGATTGTATAAGAACTGAGGCTTATGGATCACAAACTTAATGCTTTGGGACCTCTATATGTTTATTTTAAAAATCATTTAACTTGTGAAAATCACATGCAGTAAAATTAAAAAGAAACTTTACATTAAAAAATCCTTTATCTTATTAAAATATCCATTTGTACACACTCATTTCCCACTTTTGTCTTCCTGTACACATAATTTATATGTAGTTTTATAATGTATATATAATTATTACACTGCAATGGCTCATAAATATTTTTCTGTTTATACATGTTTTTAATAAAAATGATTATGCATATTATTCTTTGGGGTAATATGCCCTAATCAGATCATTGCAGGGATTTGTTATTATTTTTTTTCTTTCACTACATGGTTTTAAAGCTAAATTTCTTTGAAATCACTATATATTTTTAGTTTCTTGTTTTGGCACTGTTTGGCTGTAGGCATAATGGTTTTGTTAAGTTAATAGGAAATTTTCTTTATTCTAAGGTGATAAGTATTTAAGAGAAAAATTTTAAGTATTGATCTAAAATTATTGTTTCTTGGCTGTTCTTTATAAGAGAGTAATTCTATTTTATTTTGTAAACTATTAATACAAGATAGGTGGGGCCAGAAATTTGAAATATAAACCTATTACCACAAGTTGTACCTTCTTCATTTCGTATTTTTCATCTAGATGTAAATCTTGGTGATACTGGGTTTTTTTTTTATGTCTCAATAGGAGGATTATTTCCTTGGTAAGTGTTTTGATGTGATGGAGGTAGATGCATTAAATTCCTCACACCCTGTGTCCACACCCGTGGAGAATCCTGCTCAGATTCGGGAGATGTTTGATGACGTTTCATATGAAAAGGTAAGAATGGATTGTAAGGGTACAGTTTGGACAATAAAGTTAAATAGTGCAGTGGAGAGGTTATAGACAGCATTGTGGGGGTCTTTTTCTCTATAAGGAGCAACCCAGATTGAATGCCATCTCCTGACCCATGCTGGCCAGAGTTAATTGTTTTAGACCTCACCTAAAGTTTGGCTTAAAATCATGAAGATGACATTGTGGTCAGTTCTTCATTTACTGTCAGAAGTTGAAAATTTGTGGTCTACAGAGATTTTTTTTTATCATTCAATAAATAGGTATTAATTGAGCATCAACTTTTGTACCAGGCAGAAATTTCTGCCTTTATGTACCTTAGCTTTTGGTGTCTTCAGAAATGGTTTGTACTGTTGAACTGCACAGTACTGTCCTGTCCAATGTGTTTAATAAAAGAATTGGAACTTGTTGCCAGTATTTAATAATTGGGAGATTTTATATGCAAATCCAGATTTCTAGCTTCTCTTGGAGGAAAAAAGGATTGTGGTCATACAGGGCCTATATTTCCCCAAGCAGTGTAGACTGGAGCTAAGTCATGGCTCTTTCATGAGATCAGGGTCCTGTTTTTTGACTCTCCCTTCCATTCCCAGTTGTTTCTGTTGTCTTCACCAAGGCAGAGAATGTGTCATTTATCATTAGGCTTGGCTGCTGTTTTATGTGTAGCAAACAGAAGTATTTCTTCTTTGGATGTTTCCGTCAATAGTGCTGGGGAGTTTAAAAACAGACATAAAACAGACATATACACAGACGCATAGGTCAATGGAACAGAACAGAGCTCAGAAATAAACCCACACATATATGGTTAATTGATGACAAAGTAATCAATAATGTACAATGGGGAACGGACAGTCTATTAAATAAATGGGCATTTAGTTTTCTCAACAGCACATGCAAAAGAATGAAACTACCACTGTCTTACATCACTCACAAAACTAACTCAAAATGGCTTAAAGACTTAAAGGTGAGATTGGAGACTGTAAAATTCCTAGAAGGAAAACATAGGGAAAAAGGTCCTTGGCAATGATTTTTTTGTACATGACACCAAAAGCAGAAGAATGTAGATAGACAACAGAAGCGAAAATTGGCCAGTGGAACTACATCAAACTAAAAAATTTCTGCACAACAAAAGAAACAGTAAAATGAAAAGGCAACTTACTGAAAGGGAGAACTTATTTGCAAATCATGTATCTGACAAGGCAAAATATATAAAGAGTTCATACAACTCAGTTACCAAAGGGAAAAAAAAACCCACCAATCTGATTTTAAAAATGAGCAGAAGAACTGAATAGGAACTTTTCTGAAAATATACCAATGGCCAAAAGTTGTATGGTAAGGTGCTTAATTAACATCATTAATCATTGGAGAAATGTAAATAAAAATATGAGACATCACCTCACACCTGTTAGAGTGGCTATCATCAAAAGACAAATAGCAAGTGTTGGCAAGGTTGTGGAGCAAAGGGAACCCTCATGCACTGTGTTGGGAATGTAAATTGGTGCAGCTACTATGGAAAAATATTTTTTAAAAAAAACAGAGCTCTGTGACCCTACCATTCCCTAGAGCCAGAGACAGAGACAGACTATCTCTGCCTTGAAGGAACCTAAGGAATTCTCCCAGAAAAAGAGATTCTGAGTTTTATCTTTAAAGTTGAATTGGGACTTTTCAGGAATGAAAGAAAATAGGAAGGACTTTCTAGCAAGAGGGAATCATGATTTCTTAGGAAAAGATGACGTAAAAGAGGGTGATATATTGAGAAAGAAGGAGGGAGGAAGGGGGAAGTGAGAAAGTTCTTGGTGGTTAGAAAGTTGTATAAAAAGTGCAGGGGATTTGAAAAGAGACATGCACCTCAGTGTTTATAGAAGCACTATTTACAATAGCTAAGACAAGTTAACAACCTAAAGGTCCATGGACAGATGACTGGATAAAGACATTGTGGTATATTTATACAATAAAATACTACTCAGCCATAAAAAATAATAAAATAATACCATTTGCAGCAACATGGATGTAACTGGAGATTGCCATTCTAAGTGAAGTAAGTCAGAAAGAGAAACAAAGACACCATATGGTATCACTTATATGTGAAATTTTAAAAAATGACAAATGAACTTATTTACAAAACAGAAACAGAATCACAGACATAAGAAAACAAACTTATGGTTACCAAGGGGAAAGGGAGTGTGGAGGGATAAATTGGGAGTTTGAGATTTGCAGATACTAACTACTATATATAAAATGGATAAACAATAAGTTTATGCTGTATAGCATAGGAAACTATATTCAATATCTTAATCAAAAAGAATAGGAAAATGAATATATGAATGTGTATGTATGACTGAACTGTTATGCTGTACACCAGAAATTGACTCAGCATTGTAAACTGACTATGCTTCAATAAAACAAAAAGTGCGGGGAAAACGAAGGACATATAAGGACGTTTTTCTTACCCTTGGACTACTTCCCTCATTTGTGTCACCTGTCCACTGGAGGCATTTGAGTTTGTGGCCCATGACCTACAAGAATGGGAGTGGAGGGCAGAAGATCTCTCACCCCAGGTGCAGAGTATCTAGGAGTTCTCCTGCTCCCTTTCTCATTGCTCCTCTTGCTCTCCCGGTCCTTGTGCTCAAGGCGGCCTGGGCTCCACCCTTCCTCACGTGGTGGTTCTCACCTCTGCTTCCACCCCGCCCCACTCTTGCCCCAGCGTGGCAGTGGGAAAACCACATGGTGGTTTGGGGTCCAGTGTTGAGTCTACCATTGTCCACCCACCTGTGAGTAATGGAAGCTGGCAGATGTTGAACTTGCCCTGTGGGGAGGCTTGGTTACTGATAGAAAGTAACAGTCCCAGTGGACCAAAGGCCTCAACAATCATGGTCCAGCTCCTGCCTGGACAGGCCCAGGCTTAGCCCACTTTCCCTAATGGTTCCACATATTGCCAGACATTAAAAATGTTACTGTGGTTGCATTTTAAAGAGTTACTCCAAAATAGTGTGACAGTAGATTAGATGGCGACGAAACTAGAGCTAACACTTCTATTGTCTTTTCAGGGTGCTTGTATTCTGAATATGCTCAGGGATTATCTTAGTGCCGATGCATTTAAAAGTGGTATTGTAAAGTATCTGCAGAAGTATAGCTATAAAAACACAAAAAACGAGGACCTGTGGAATAGCATGGCGACTGTGAGTATGTTTCTGTGTATCTCTTCGTTTGGGATGGACGGGCTTATTATCTTACTTTGTTTTTGTTCTGAGCGCATGAATTCCTCTGAGAAGAATCATGAGCGTTTTCTACAGAATTAAGTGATGTGTTTATTTTTCGTTTTTAGATTTGCCCTACAGATGGTACACAGAGGATGGATGGCTTTTGTTCTAGAGGTGAACATTCATCTTCATCTGCAGTAAGTTTTTCACATCTGTCCGTTACCCCCGAGCACATTCTTTTACTCCATTTTCTCTGAAGGACAGCTCTCCACCAAAGGGTCTGAGGTCCCTGATTTTATCGTCCTCCCTCTAGATAAGACTGCATTTAAACCATACCAGACTGACAGCCTTCTACAATTTTTCTTAAAAACTATCTGCCCAAGGGAGTTGAGTAACCTCTTCGGTAACACATCTCACTGATACTCATTTCTTCAGCTTGACTCTCTGTAAAGCAGCGGATTTATGGCATGTTTCTCTGGTAGACTAGGACTCTGTCCGTCACGCTGTGTCGACCATTTCCATAGCTCTTCCTTTGTTGAGTGTGTGTCAGGCGCGTATGAAGCACTGATGTGTGTTCTCTGCTCTACTCCTCACATTAAGCCTGTCAGCGGGTACTGTTATCCCTGTTTTTACAGATGGGAATACGAAATCCATAAGCACGTGATTAGTAAGTTGTAGAGCAGGGATTTGAATTGAGATCTAACTCATGCCTTCAACTGCTAAGCTATAAAGAATTCATAGCAGCTGAATCACAAAACAGTCTATTTATCTAGACTTACGGAGTATTTTCACAGGCAGCTGAGGGTGATTCTGGAGATGCAGCAGAATTTTATCCAACGTATTTTTATTTTCTTGGGTTTTTTTTCGCTTTTAGAGATGACTTTAGTCAGTAGTTTCTAGATGTGCCCTGCAGAGTATTTTATCCTTTAATTAGCTGTTAAATATTACTTATTTTGACAGAGGTACTGGGGATTGACCCCAGGACCTTCTGCATTCCAAGCATGCACCCTACCACTGAGCAATGCCCCTGCTGCGGAAGTGTAGGCTCTTGATGGAGCATGTTTTCCTCACCTTACGTGTCTGAAAGCCAGCATCATTATGTAGGTGTTGAACACCTGGCCACTTTCCGTCCCTTCTCTACCTCATTCATTCACGTGCCTGCTGTGTACCTGGTGCCAAGCCCGAGTTCTGCCCAGGAGAACCAGGTGTGGTACCTGTTCTCAAGACATACACATGTACAGGAGGAGAGTGAAAAGTAAACAGTTGATGCTCTAATGGATGTGCCAGTGGCTGGAGACAGCAGGGGAAGGGAGCAGGGCAGGGGCTGGGAGCAGAGCAAGGGACGAGGAAGAACTGTGGAGGAGGTGGTCAACCAGTAGCAGCTCTGCGCACGCAAGCTTGGTTCTCTCTTAAAGTTGGGTGCAAGTGAGTCACGCACCTGCCTTTTTCTTATAAACCAGCACTGGCGACAGGAGGGCCTTGATGTGAAAACCATGATGAATACCTGGACGCTGCAGAAGGGCTTTCCCCTGATAACCATCACAGTGAGAGGGAGGAACGTCCACATGAAGCAGGAGCACTACGTGAAGGGACTGGATGATGCCCCGGAAACTGGGTAACCTTCACAGAGAGAAACTCGTTTTGTTGTCTATGTAACATCTGCCTTGTAGGATGAAACCTTGTTTTGGGAATAGTGCTCTTACCTTTATTGCTAAAATATTTTAACCAAATCTGTGTCCTATGCAGCTGACTTACATTCCACTATCTTCCCAAAAGGGTGAAGGTGATATGATGATCTTAGCATTCACGTGGTTTGTAATTAGATATGATGGTAATTTCCAGTTAATGGCTTGACATCAGCTGCCATTAGCAACTGCTGCTAAATTACATTAGTGCCTGATTTTCAGGTTGGAGCTAAGGTGATTTCTGGGAATTACCAGAGACTCAGTTCTATCCTTTGGAAGTCTGAGTTAGATCCTGCCTGTTGGTCAGCTTAGCGCTATACAGGACATCCCTGGAAATGAAACACTGCAACTTGTTTGCCCTCAGATGGACAGTATTTAAATTTTTTTATTTTGAAATGATTTCAGACTTCTGGAGAAATTAAAAGAGTGCAGAGAATTCCCATATATTCTTTACCCAGATATATGAGTTAACTCTTTACCATATTTGCTTTATTTCACTCTGTATAACCGAAAATATCAAACAGTTCTGAAAAATACACTCTATCTATGTCTGTTTCTCTCTATGGTGTATATATATGTGTGTGTGTGTATAAAACTGTTTGAGGTTAAGTTGGAGACATGATTCCTCTTAACTCTGAAATACTTCAGTGTGGTATTTCCTAAAAAAAATAAGAACATTCATTTACATAACCACAGTACCTTTATCAAAATAATGAAATGAGCTAGATATAATACTATCATCAAATCTATAAACCTTTTTCAGCTTTCCCTAATGGTCCTAATATTTCTTAGCAAAAGAAAAAAGTCTGGTTCAGGATTTCCTATAGGATCACATTGTATTACATGTTACATACGTATCTTTAGTTCTTTTTTTCAGAAATAGTCCCTAAGTCTTTGTTTCTTTGGCATCATTGAAGAGCACAGGCTAGTTATTTTATAGACTGTCCTTTAATTTGGGTTTTCTGCTGTTTCTTCATGATCAGGTTCAGCTTATGCTTCCTTGGCAGGAATTCCACAGAAGGGGTATTGTGTTCTGAGGAGACAGGCTCTGTGGATTTGTGCCATTACTAGTGGTCACATTGTCAAAGTTAGGTCCCCTGAGACCCAGCGGGCAATTACTGCTAAGGCTGTCAGGGCTCACTGGAGCCCAGGGTCTTACGTCTATTCAAGGAGTCCTAGAAGAATGAGCAGTGCCAGAGCTGGCAACTCCTAGAAAGCTGGAAAACAGGCTGGGGATGTTTTGAGCTCCTGAGTATAGCAGATTTGGTACCATCCTTCCTTAAACTAGCCAGTGCCCAGCACATGGTAGGTGATTTAATAACTGCTTGTTGAGTTGAATCAGTGAATGAACAATCTGTCCTCTCTTCTAGGTACCTGTGGCATGTTCCATTGACATTCATTACCAGCAAATCAGACTCAGTCCAAAGATTTTTGCTGAAGACAAAAACAGGTAATTTATTTTGGAAATAACTAGTTTGTTTCAAGAAGGAACTGTAGAAATGTGTAGGATTTAGATAAGTTTCTTTTGCTATTTATCTTAGATAAAAGGTTTGAAAATACTGTCTGGTTGCAAAAAAGAAGGCCAGCATCTTGCCAGATAGAGATTAAGGCGGTTGAGTCATGTAATGCTAAGGAGGAGTGGTGCTTGTGAAAACCCCCCTTCCTTTGTTAGCGTTGCTGGCTTATATCATATGTATGGCTTGAACCGTGGCTGCATTCTTCTTGTGGATCTATAAATGTCACAAAATTGGTGTCTCAAACTAGTATTGGCTCTTGTCTGTTGGGATGCTGTTGCCTGGTTTCTGAGAGGAATGCGTTCAATAGGAAACTCATTTCAGTATTTAAATTGTTCAGTGTTAAACTTGCCTTTCGTTTCTTTGTCCAGTCTCTGATCAGAAAACCTTTGACCAGTCGAGAGAGAGAATGGAGCTATGATTTATTTTCTTTGCTCTAGATGTGCTCATCCTTCCAGAAGAGGTGGAATGGATCAAATTTAATGTGGGAATGAATGGCTATTACATCGTGCATTATGAGGATGATGGATGGGATTCTCTGACTGGCCTTTTAAAAGGAACACACACGGCAATCAGCAGTAACGATCGGGCCAGTCTCATTAACAACGCATTTCAGCTTGTCAGGTAATACAGGCTCTCACAGCCTTGGTTTATTTCTGAAAGCTGCTGTTATCATTCAAATCCTTGATTTCTCAAGATGAAAATGATCGATTGCTAATAAGTTGAAGGGTGTTTTCTCCTAACAGCTCAAAATTGCTTTTACCCTTATGCATAACCTCTTGTCTGTGTGTGCTGAATAAGGTAAAAGAAGGAACCTGTATTGTAATCTTTTTCATTAACAGCTTAGATCAGACTGAGGCAGAAGTGTAGAACACTAGGAGACCAGCATCCTGGAGAAGCCCCTTGCCTGGTCCCTAATGCCTAGTCCTGCAGCTTTTTCTGGCCCTGCTGTAACAGATCAGATTCCTCCCCTGCTGGGCCTCTAACAGCCCGGAAGCCTTCTTAGAAGACCAAGTAGCCCATGCTGAAGTTTTTGGCATTACTTTACATTTGGTAAATGAGGGATGGCCCCTGATCCACCCCCACCCCACCCAAAGTCGATACCTGAACTTCACAGCATCTTTATGG